TGTACGTTAGCTCGCGCCCTAGGTGACTAGTGACTAGTGAGTCGTAGGCACTGCTGATGATTGCCGTTCGCAACTCGTCGTTGTCTAGCACCCACTTGCGCCCTTAGTAAAATAGGACTCTACTATCTACTAAGCAGTCTTTAATTAAGCACTTTAGGCCTAAGTTTACAGGGAAACGTCTCTCTTAGTCCTCTACTACCTTCTTCGCTCTTTAGTAGACACAATCCTTCGCTGTCGCTTCTTGCTAAAGCTTCTCTAACTTATTCTACTCTAGCACTTTTTTATTTAGTACTCTAGGAAGGAGCTAATCTAATTCTTCTCTAGATAGGGGGATAGCCTCCTCTTCCCGCTGCTGGCTTCGTGTCCTCGTTGCCATTACTAAGATAGCTTTTTCTAGTTCTTCTTCTGTTACCTCCTAATAGGAGTTTGTTGGCTTAAATATTTGTACAAAGCGCTTCTGTAAGCGCTCGTCTTCTGCCCCTATAGGTAGGTCTTGTTCTCTTCTTGAGAGCGCGTTGGCTCTCACGTTCTGCTTACCTAGCTGATATAGCAGCTCTAGGTTGTATCTACCAAGTAAAAGCAACTATCTCACCTAACGTTCGTTTAGCATACGGGGTTTTATAAAGTACTCTAGATTCTTGTAATCTATAATTACCTTAAACTTCTTAACTAAACGCAGTTTAGAGTCCTATTCCTTAAGGCATTATACTACCGCAAGTAACTCCTTGTTATAGATCTTGTAGTTGCACTCGTGCGCGCTATTCTTCCGCGAGAAGAACGCGCAGGGTCGTAAGACTCCATCATCGTCGTACTGTGATAGCACCCCGCCCACCGCGTAGCCGCTCGAATCGCACTCGAGCACTGTCTCCTGATCTAGGTTGAACGCCGCTAGCGTTGGCTCTATAACAAAGATCTCTTTTAGCTTGTTAAAGGCTAATTGCTCTTTAGGTCCCTATTAGAAGAGGACGTCGCCTATAAGTCTAGTAAGAGGTGCGGCTAGCTATGTAAAGTTCTTAATAAACCTTTAGTAGAAGTTTGCGAATCCTAAGAACAATCTTACTCCCTTTACTATCTTTAGTGCCTCCCACTCGCGAATTGCGGCTATTTTGGCTAGATCTATGCTTATCCCCTTGCCTGCTTTAATAATAAACCTAAGGTACTTAGTTGTCTTAACTTTAAACTTGCACTTCTTAATGTCTACTTGTAACCCTACAGCTTATAGCTTACTAAGTACTTTTTAGACATGCTCTTAATGCTAGCGTAGATCGCCGTTAGTATAGATTAGCACGTCGTCTAGATAAGCTAAGCAGAAGTCGTCTAGGTGTTCTCTTAAGGTCTAGTTAATATATCGTTAGAAGGTACTTAGGGAGTTCGCCATGCTAAAGGGGGTAACTAGCCACTTAAACAATCCGAATCTCGTACGGAAGGCCGTCTTCCACTCATCGCCTAGTGCGACGCGGATCTTGTG